CATAAACAGCTGAATATGATTTGTGGTAATGGTAATATATGTGTAATGTCACTCATGACATCATCAATTAATTTGGAGTTGTTTTCTCCCGTCGCCTGTTCATTTTTATTAATTTCTCCCTTTGCCTCTTCATTACAATCATTTTCACTTTCATTGGCTTTCGCTATTTTTTTCCTTGCCCTATCTCTTGCGAGTCCTGAAAACAACAAATATAGGCAGTTCACACATAGAGAGCTATCGATCTAGGGACCTTGATTTGACAGGAACTTGCATGTAACCGTCCGCTAACATCTAATGTAAAACTAATACAATGCGTTGCTGTCCATAAAAAAGCATGCAATACATATGTATCTGTCTAACGACCTTGCGATTGAAACCTTATTATCTACAATATTCACCACATTTCTGTTCTGCATTTGTCATTTTATGGCTTGTTTATACACAGTTTACGTACAGTTAGTATTTTGAGCGGCTCTGAGGCACATATACTGAGAAAACACGAAAAAGGACTAAAAATTATGAAGTTCGAAATCTCAGCTGGGTAGGTTTACAGCTTATATTCTGCTTCTTGTAGACCACACGACAGATTTAACTCAATCTTTATAACCATTCACATATGCATCACCGAATGAAAAGGAAAGCTTACCTGTGAATCTTGCCTACAGGCGAAAAAGAGGACATGCTGTCTTTCCCGTCCGCCATTTTTTGTAATCGTTACCGCAAAATTTGGCCAATTGCCTTGTCGTATCTGTCATGCTATAACACCGTGTTATCAGTTTTTCGAATTTCTTAATATATTTTGCCTTTTTGAAGTCTTTAGCCAGTGAGTTAAATAGTATTGCTCCTCTAATCGCAATTGATTTTGGACCAGTTTTAGTTCTAAACCTTTTGATTGTTAAATTATATTTGTATCTAGTATCATGGGTGTGTATATCTGTTCTCTCTTGAAAAAACTGTTTAAAAACATGAAATGGAAAGTCTGCAGATTCTGTTCCAGTTTTCTACACAAAAGTGAGCGTTTGAAATGTATTAATGTCAAACAATATTTAATATTTTCAACTTTTTGAAGATGGGACTTGAATGAGCAGTTCTTTCAGAATTTGTCATTATTCTTAGAAATTTCTTTTGTAAAATAAATAGTCTGTATAAGTGATTCTGTTCCAGTTTTCTGCACAAAAGTGAGCGTTTGAAATTTATTAATGTCAAACAATATTTAATGTTTTCAACTTTTTGAAGATGGGACTTGGATGAGCAGTTCTTTCAGAATTTGTCATTATTCTTAGAAATTTCTTTTGTAAAATAAACAGTCTGTATAAGTGATTTTTGCTGCATTGCCCCATAAAATGTTTCCATAACTTATATATGAATATACTAAAGAATAATAGGTAGTCAACAAGGCATTCAATGTTAGTTTGTGTCTAGTTTTATATAGTAATCGAATTAAATTTGAAATTTTGGTACAAAGTGCATTTATATTAGCAGCCCATGTTAACTTGGATCAGAAAAATTCAAGTCCTAATCGTCTTAAATGAGAATAAACCATGCTTAACGTAAGTAAATTAAAACAGAAAATAAGCTTAAAGCAAGTAAAACTCAAGTCCTAACCGTCTCAAATAAGTATACACCATGCTTATGGCAAGTAAATTAATACAGATTAATACATTTTAAGCAAGTAAAATTCAAGTCCTTACCATCTGAAATAAGTATAAATCATGCTTAATCTGAATAAAATGTATGCTGAATGAGACCTTAAAATAATTTTGTTGTCAAAGCTCTTAACTTGAAGACGCGAAGTAATTTTTAAGCAGAACAATTTCTTATTTTTAAAATTACTGAATGATACAATTACAATTTCTCAATATAAGGAAATCAAAGGGAAATTTTAAAGTAATATATATCATATGTTTTAAATTACTTATAATTACTTGTAATTACTTTGAATTACTTAAATAATCTTGAACTACTGAATAATTTTTAAGTAATTTTTTACTTAAAATGAGTAGTACAATTTCTCAATATAAGGAAATCCAAGTAAATTTTAAAGTAATATATATCACATATCTTAAATTACTTATAATTACTTATAAGTATTTTTTACTTAAAATGAGTAGTACAATTTCTCAATATAAGGAATTCCAAGTAATATTTTTTAAGAGTGAAGTCGAGTCAATTATTACTCCTAGAAAATTATTATTATTTACCCTTTCTATCGATTGATTTTTTAATTTTATTTCAAAGTTGTCAATTTTGTTGATTCTTTTTATGTCAAAAATCATAAGTTTTTTTCTACATTAAGTGTTAATCTGTTAGATATAATCCAATCATGAACCTTCTTCAATTCCTCATTTATATCATTTTCTAAATTATCAATGTTATCATCAGTCAATAAAATATTTGTGTCATCTGCATATAAGACAAATTTTAATTTATCTGATGTTAAATATATGTCATTTATGAAAATAATGAATAAGAGGGGGCCCAAAAACAGAACCTTGTGGAATTCCATATTCAATATTAGAAGCAGATGATTGATATTTCATATTAGTTATAGTACTTGAGTCAATTTCAAAATCATGTATTGTATATTTTGTTATAATTTTCCTATTTTCAAGATAACTTTCAAACCAAGAAAGTGGGGTTCCCCTAATTCCATAAAATTCAAGTTTATTCAACAGTATATTATGATCCCCGGTATCAAAGGCTTTTGTTAAATCAATATATATTCCAATGCTTGTTTCCGATTTGTCTAAACCTGTTCTAAAATTTAAAAGAGCCATATTGCTGTAAATAGAGTAATTCATATTTTCTAAGAATAACATTACCTTATCATGCATAAGTTTTTCTAACATTTTCGCAAAAAAACACTCAAAATAGAAATTGGTCTGTAGTTAGTGAATTTATCTTTAAGTCCCCATTTAAATACTGCGATAACTCTAGCGATTTTAAGTGCATCTGGAAATTTACCCGTAGAAATTGATAAATTGAAAATGTGTGCAAGTGGAGCTGCTAGAAATTCATGAAGTTATTTTATAACTCTAGGTTTTATATCGTCAATTGAAGCTGCAGTAATTCCTTTAGTAATTCAATTCCTGTTGTGACACCATCTATTGTAACTGGGGTAATGAATAGAGAGTTTAAATTTTGATTCATTTTTCTCATATTAATCATTGGGTCAACGTTAGTCTTGATACGATCAGCAAGTTTTTTTAACATTATTCTGCTAAAGAAGTGATTAAAATACTCTGCTATCTCTTCACCATTAGTTGTTTTCCGTTCACCAAGGTCAAATGTGGAATTTCTATTGGAATTGATTGGTTTTCTTTTCAAAATGCTATTAACAATATTCCAGAATTTCTTTATATTTCCTATGCTCTCTTCAAATATATTTTTATAAAACATCTTTTCTGCATTTAATTTATTTTTATATCTAGTGTAAACTGTCTTATTCTGCGAAGTTGGATTTTTCTTATATTTGGCGTAAAGTTTGTTTTTATATTTGGCTGAAATTATTATCCCTAAAGTTGTCCATGGTTTATTGTTATCATTATACGTTTTAATTATTTTGTTTTTAATAGGAAGACATCTGTTATAATGTTCTGGATAAAATATCTAAAATGAATTGTAAGCAGTGTTAATACAAGGAGATTCATCATAATTATCCCAGTTGATCAAAGATATCTCATTTTGACGTTTTTTTTGAAAAATTGGATATTTCCCTTTTCCAAACCTAATGAATTTGGACATTTCTTCGTTGTCACTGGTGATCCACTCGATTACGCTGGTTACCGAAACGGTTCGTTTTGGTAACAAAATGTCGGAACGTCGAAGGTACGATTTTTATTTTTTCCTTATATCACGCTATGTAGGCAGAATCCCCACGACGTTTTTTCTCACAAACGTGTATCAGTATCATATGTTTTAGAAAATGTTCATGTTTGCGAAAAGAAATTGTTTAGAAGACAACAGAATCGTCGATTTAATTCCTCACTTAAGTTACATAAACGGTTTGGGTTAAAAGTGCAGATCTTAACTGTTTTTCGAAAAACCGTTTATGTAACTTAAGTGAAGGATTAAATCGACGATTCTGTTGTCTTCTGAACTATTTGTTCGAACATATGTACATTTTCTTAAACATATGATACTGATACACGTTTGTGTTAAAAAATGTTGTGGGAATTCTGCCTACAACGTGTGAAATAAGAAAAAGAGAAAAATCGTACCTTCGACGTTCTGACATTTTGTTACCAAAACGAACCGTCAACCAGCGTAATCGAGTGGATCACCAGTGGTTGTACATGTTGTATTAATTCTTCAATGATTTCCAGATTTGAGTAGATTATTAAGATAATAAAATTACAACTTCACAGGAAACACACTACCATACTTTTAAAAATCTCTACATGAACACAATTTAATGCACATCATAATTTTAGTACTTGGAATTTTTTACCTTCTTCTAAGGCCACTGTATCGTGGCCTTCCAGTACAGATATATTCCTGCATGAACAACTGGTCATGTCGTAATCATAAAATTTGAAATCATATGTCCGCCATTTTTCCACATCACAATTTGAATTGCGAGTTTTGGTCTTATTACCTCACCAAAAATTCCAAAACACACAAATAGTGATCAGTGTATTAGTTCACATCTTCTGGATCGCTAACTTAGAATTTACAGCCAATTACTAATGTCAGACGTAACGACATTTCGTCCAGTTTTCGAACATCGCCATTTTTCTTGGAGCCATTTTGTTTTAATTTTAGACGAAATCCTGATGAAATCATGTCATATCTCATCAAGGAGCCGAGCTGGGTCCGGTTTGATTAATGATTTATTTATCTGGCGATTTTTAAAATATTCAATAAATATATGACACCCCTGCAGCTTTTTTCAAATAGAGTTCACAGTATTCCAGATGAATCCCCTCTAGCCAAGTATTGGCTAGAGACTCGAGTAAGGAATTTTACTTGAAAGTTTTTGACTCCTCAACTAAACTTACTTCTGTTCTGAAGAATCTGAATATAGTTGAGCTCAGGGCGCATCCTACAAACCCCTCAGTTGCTTTTGGGTCGTGCAGGAAGCGGATCTCCAGTGGTGTCATACCATCAGGTCCCAGATCAATCCTCTGGGAGAGAGTTCTGTTAGTCCAGTCCCACACATTCAGCGAACGGCCATAGAGACCTACAAGCACATTATAAGTTCACATTCAAATATATTCAGAGAAAGTACAAAGTAACGCACTGCGAGTTACAAAATGTTACTAAAATGAATTGTACCACTCATATCTCCTGTGTCATATTTTATCATCTCTTTTAATGCAACTTGTACGACACTAATCTCAATCATTTCAGATCGCATAGGATTTACATCTCATTGCCAGTTAAGATGTTTGCCTATAAGTCAATCTGAGCAATATCTCCTGTGTCATCTTTTCTCGCCCTTTTCTGCTTTAACTACTTGTACTTCACACTAATATCAATCATTTCAGATGTCATCTAAGAATTGTTAAAGCAGAGTATTGAGAAAGGTATTAATAATTATTTTACTCACAAAATATCCTCATTGGTACTCAACAAAAATACTGGAAGTGCAAGATTTCAGGGATAAATACCTTTAGCAACATCTGCAGGGTCGAAGCCTGGTAAAAAGGCCTTGGGCACACTAAACTCTGTGCTAATCATCACATTGTGCTTAGGTTGATACCAGAAGTCATAACCGAATGAGGCGGCGGTCTTCTCCCAGTTGCCAACAACATGGAAGTCCTCTCCATCAATCAGGATGAATCCTCCTGTAAATATATGTCATTTAAAATCCTCTCAATCAATTGGGATGAATCATGTTGTACATGTAAATACATGCCATTTAAAAACCCTCTATATCAATCAGGATGAATCCTCTGGTAAATACAAGTCATTTAAAAATCATCTCAATCAATCAGGATAAATTCTCCTATAAATACAGGTCATTTTAAAATCATCTTCAGCAATCAAGATGAATCCTCCTTTAAATACAGGTCATTTTAAAATCATCTTTATCTATCAGGATGAATCCATCTGTAAATACATGCTATAATTTAAAAATTCTCTCAATTAATTCTAAGGATGAATCATGTTGTACATAGAGATTATCCTATATGAGGTTCAGGATATTGGGATTATCCCGAGGCCAATATAATATATTTGCCCGAGGGCCGCAGGTCCCGAGGGAAAATATATTATATTGGCCAAGGGATAATCCCAATATCCTGAATCGACTATAGGATAATATGTTTATCCCATACCAATCTTGGTCATCTGGTTCACATTGTTCAATCGTGGAAATATTTTAGAATATTCATGTCCAGTTTTGTTTTCTTGGCCGTGGGCGGATTTTCCTGTTCTCTCAAATATTCCCACATTCATTTTCTCGAATTTTTTGATTGATTAAGTGGATGCTCCTTCCCTTTTTTAAACCATCAAACAGATCCCGATAGTCTGTGTTTTCTCCATTGTCGTTTACAGTCATTACGCGAACGTTACAAATTATGAACAGTCAAATATGCGAGCGGCGATTATGACGTAACGGGCAGATATACTATATCTGCCCGCTCGGAGCGGGACGTAAAGCTATATCTGCCCGCTGATGAAAATATAAGATTTTACAAACCGGCTTTATGTACCTGTAACACGTCCAAGTATAGGATAAATGTAAATACATGTCATTTTAAAATCCTCCGAAATCAATCAGGATAAATCCTCTTGTAAACACATGTCATTTTTAAATCCTCTCAATCAATCAAAACGAATCCTCCTGTAAATACATGTCATTTTGAAATCCTCTATATCAACAACAATGAATCACAAACCCTTTAAATACACGTCCTTTTAGAATCCTAATTCGAATCCTCCTGTAAACACATGCCATTTAAACTTAATGTTCTCCTCGTCAACAAGGATGAATCCTCTTGTAAATACATGTACGTTTAATTTTTTAACTAAAAGTTACATATACAAGATACAAATCACAAAAATTACACAAATGCAATATCATGTAACACTTGTAACCCAGAACAACTAACACTGGGTGGTGTATTCCCTTTCAGACTGTGAGTCCCTTGATTCATCATGAACAGACTCATTGTTAAATTAGGTGTCCCAAAAAGTGAGTACTTTCTAAAGCTTCGTTCACACCAACGGCGCTTTGACAGTGTAGGTATTATGGAAATCTCGAAACTGCTGAATAACTTAGAATAATATCAGCGGAGATCTATTGGATTGTACAAGGCGGTAATTATTCAAAATCAGAGAATTAAAAAATACAGACTTGGGCAAGGTTAGTATTTCATTATCACTGGTGATCCGCTCGATAACGCTGGTTACCGAAACGATGTAACAAAATGTCGGGACGTCGAAGGTACGATTTTTCTCGTTTCCTTATATCACACGTTGTAGGCAGAATCCCCACGATATTTTTCTCACAAATGTATATCAGTATCATATGTTTTAGAAAATGTACATGTTTGCGAAAAATAGTTCAGAAGACAACAGAATCGTCGATTTAATACCTCACTTAAGTTACATAAACGGAATGGGTTAAACGTGCAGGTCTCAACTGTTTTTCTTGAAAATTTATTTTAAACAGTGTTTCTTGTCCCTTAGGCACTAACATATCCATCAACTGCTCTTTAGGTTATCAATAAAAACTACATTTCTACAAAAACGGTGGCCATTTTGAAATGAGCATCCAGATAAAACAATCCTTCTCGAGCAGGGGTCCTATGCCCAGAGGGCATCAGAAATGAATCTGTCAACCGGTACCCGAGCTTCCGGCTGAGACGGACGAACGAAACGACAGAATAGACGGACAGACGGCTTCTCCATATCCCTCACAAACTATGTTCAATGGGATAATAATTGCAGAGCAACAATAATGTGCATGCATTTACATAAAGCATCTTGTAGTATACAGAGTTTTATTGTGTACCCTTCATGTAAGAATGTTAAATATTACCTCTGGCATTTCCGTTTGGATCCCCAAGACAACTGATCATGATCTTGCCATTAGCGAGGCAGTGAGAGGTGTGGGGGGTACTGAGTCCTGTTACGCGATGGACCTCTCTTGGTTCAACGATCTGAAAGTTCAAATGAAAGCAGCTACTAAATAGAATGTTTATGTTGAATTTAGCTAAGACACACAGTATACAATTGTTGACCTCTCCAGAGGTCAACCGGCAAAATTGTATACCGAGACTGTAAACCGAGAAACTACTGTTGACAGAGACCGAAGGTCGAGGTCAACAGTGTTTCAAGGTTTACAGTCGAGGTATATGATTTTGACGGGTTGACCGAATGGAGAGGTCTACAATTGTTTTGTTAGTCAGAAGAAACTAATAATATTATACGACAGTCATCAATCATGGCTTCATTTCACAATCTTTTCTACGAACCACGCCAGCAATAATTTTTAAGAAAATCTGAAGACAGTGGAAGCTAAACTCTCTGTTTTCGGCACATAACTGCGTACTCACTTGTAAATTAATGTTAATTTTGCGTTTCTATTTGTATTGTTGCTATACTCGTCGTGTAGAAAAGTCAAAATATCACTTTCATCAACGTGTACAAAATGTCCGACTACCATGTTTTTTTCTGTAAACATTGTGACGTCATATTTCCCATAATTCACAAGTGTAGTACAGTAACATATGCGGTCAATAATATGATATCCCATGATGCACAAGTGAGGTACAGGCAAAAATGTTGACCGCTAATTGACCAATCAGATGCGAGTATTTACACTGAGGTACTAACAATGATAAATATCGCACCTCTATTGAAAAAATTAATATGGCCGCCAAGTATTTTTGCTAAGTACCCAATTATACAGGGTGTTAAAAAACGCAACCCAAAGAAATCACTATATCTTGGAAAATACTGATGCAATTATGTTCATTTTTTCAGGAAAGAAAGAAGAGACTGTGTATGTATAGCTCCTGTAGTTGGTTAGTTATAAAACGTGATGCCTTAGACACCCGCTCAAAAGACATTAGAATTGGAAAGATACAAAAAACGCAGTCAGGGGTAACTGCCACAGCAATAAAACCGAATAACTTTCTAATCATAGTGTTTTAGCACTTCAAATTTGGCACAAATCATCAACATTCAAAGTATGGTAAATCTGTAGAGTGAAATCAAAATCACTCCAGGGACTTTACAGATATGGTCGAAATGCGTTCAAGACGCAGTCAAACGCCCTGGTTCAGGCATACTTAAGAAGGCATTTTGACCATGACTCTAAAGTCCCTAAGGTGATTTTGATGAAACTCCACCAATTCACCACACATTGAATGAGGATAATTTGTGCCAAATCTGAAGTGCCAAACCACTATGGTTAGAAAGTTATTCAGTTTTATTGCTGTGGCAGTCACCTTTGACTGCGTTTTTTTGTATCTTCCTAATACTAATGTATTTTGATGTGTGTGCAGGTGCAGGTGTCCAAGGCTTCATGTTTTACAAGTAAATAACTACAGGACATCTACATGCACAGTCTCTTCTTTCTTTCCTGAAAAAATGAGTGCAATTGGATAAGTATCTTCCAAGATATAGCGGTTTCTTTGGGTTGCGTTTTTTTTGAACACCCTGTATTTAGCATTAGTCTGAATTTTGATGATTTGACAGACGCACAGGACGACAACTATATCACTTGAAAAAGTGTAATAAAAAGAAATTCTCTAGTGAACTTACTTTTTATTAAACATCCCATCTTAAAGGCAGAATCAGATCTATAGGGGGTGACAAAATTACAACCAACGTGCATAATTGACCTAGCAATCTATTCCTTACAATATCAAATACAATATCTCCCAAAAGATTCACAATATGTTTTGAATTGGTGAAGTTATTAATGATTCAAAGTGCAAAAATGGGTGAAAAATGTTTAAATTCTCCAAAATAATAAGAATGGTAACCATTCTTATAGAAAAATAATACATTATTGTAAAAATCTTTCGTTTTCCTTGAATAAAGTATGCACTTTTGTGATTTTTAGAAAATAGACATGGCAAGGAATGACCTGAGCCGAAAATATTCTAAAATTGAAACAATTTTTTGTTTAGCCTGCTCGCTATCTCTGATTCTCTCTTTAAGATAACATAAAGTGATATCCGAGTAATGTGTTTTCAGGTGTTTCAAATAAATACCATAGTAACCTGCTGACGATTTGATGAAATAAAATTTTTAAATTCCGACCCAAAGCTTGAAAATTACTTCACAGTAAACTACATAAAAAGTACATAAATCTATGGCGCCGGTGCCTGGCTTAAATATTTAAAGTATCGAATATAAAAGGCAGAATCAGATCTATAGGGAGTGACAAAATTGCAAGCAACATGTTTAGTTTGAAATTTCAAAATCAGTCGAAACATGTGTATATGCATTTGATTTTTTGGCCCTTACAACCGTAATCAAAAATAAGACCGCCCCTCCCCTCTCTCTCTTACGTGATAAATCTTTGGTGAACGAGGTTCAGAACTTGTATCGATGACATAAACTCGATCACTCTTAAGACTTGGCATGATCAGTTTTGATCTACTTTTTGATGGATCATTGAAGCAACTTGAGCAGGCATTCCAACCAGTGTGATGTAATTCATCTCCTACATAGGGCATAGGAAGTCTATGGATCACCTAGAAAACAATAAAATACTGCATGAAAGATAATATCAACGGTGATTCTACGGCCAAAACAAACTGGAGACGCTGTACGGAGACCGCAAGGCGAGCCTACTATGGCTGTCGCAGCATTCACTGACTTATTGGGAACAACGGTCGACGTACAAACGTAATAGAGGCGTTAGTCATGGCTTCAAATTAAAAACATACAAAAAGTGATCATAATAATTAACCAGATTGATTACCCAATAGTGTTATACAGTATACAGAAACTTGGAGATTATTGAATTAAAAGAAATATCATTTTCCACGGAGGCATGCTCTGACTCAAAAATGTCAATTAGAATAGGTAGATATGACATATTAATGATAATTTATCACTCGTGAAATCGATAAAATAATATATAAAAAGATGTTTTATTTTCTGATATTTGTGTAAACGATGGCGTAATATTACAGTACTTCCATTTACTAGTGTAATTATTATATAATATTATGAAGGAAAAAATATAATCAGCATAATATACTCTATTATATAGTAATTAATATAATATAATTAGAAATAAGTGAGATGCAAAAATATTATTTGTACATATAAACATTTACCAAATCTAGGGCCCGCGGTTATTATTTCTTAAACAATCTAATCCTCATTCATTATCCTAAACAGAAAATATTACATTGATCAAGCAGTTTTAAACTAGGCTATTCACAAATGGAATTTACCTTGCTATAAGAAGGTGAGTTTGGATCAACATCAACAGTGGCCAGGTAGTCGGGCTTTTTATCATGAGGAGTGTTGCGGTAGATACATGGCAGGTATACAATCTCTTCTCTCTTACCATTGAGGTAGGCATCCATTGGTGTCTTGTATCCAGGTCCATGACCACTGCAACAATCTGAAAAAATACATGGCACATACTGTATTGGACAATATATGATTTTAATTTAGTTGGGGCTATTTTGATCACAATCAATTTTGTTTTAAAGCCAAGCCTCTCAATAGGTGATGTAGGTTCGAACCGATCGAACCTATTTAGCGAATCTAAAGAATCACCTTAGCAAACCTAAATTCTGGAAATATTTAGAGTTGCCTTATCACGGTGTTATAGCATGACGGTTACGTCAAGGCGATTTGCAAAATTTTGCGGTAACGATAACAAAAAATGGCGGATGGGAAAGACAACATGTCCTCTTTCTCGCCTGTAGGCAAGATGCACAGATAAGAATTCCTTTTCAACTAGTTCCATTCGGTGACGTATATATGGATGGTTATAAAGACTGGGTCAAATCTGCCAGGTGGTTACTACAAGCAGAATAAAAGCTGTAAACTTACCGACTAAGATATCCTCGCTCATAATTTTTAGTCCATTCTCGTGTTTTCTCAGTATATGTGCCTCAGAGGCACTCAAACTATCAACTTAAGTAAACTGTGTATTAACAAGCCATAAAATGACAAATCTAGATCAGGCACGTGGTGTATATTGTAGATAATAAGGTTTCAAACGCAATGTCGTTAGGCGACTATGTATGAATTCTATGGACGGTAACGTTTTGTATTAGTTGTAGTTGTAGATATTTAGCGGACGGTTACGTGCATGTACACCTTTCAAGTCAAGGTTGCTAGTTCTGATAGCCCCTTTCTATGTCATTGTTATAATGGGTAAGCAATGGAATATTGAATCGCTTATATTTGTTTTCAGGACTCGCAAGAGACGCTCTTGTTTGAGCCTCTATAGGGCAAAGAAAAATTGTGTCTTGCTTTATTCATGAAACCAATGAAAGTCAAAAAGATAGCAATGAAGAGGCAAAAGAAGAATTAGCATCAAGTACCGATGAATATGACAAAATTAATAACAATGAATCGGGGATACATATTTGAACGAGGTTCGCGTAACCGTCCATCAATTTTTTGCGTAATCCCAAATTCAAAATACATTATTATGGCTTCAGTAGAACATATTAGGTGGTTTCCAATGCTCAAATGGCTTTTTATGATCGTATGTAGGTTACATCTACATACCCCGAGGTCGTTAGGCAATGTAGTATAATGTAGACCTTGCCCTAACGACAAAAGTAAACAAATTACTAAATTTTGTGTAGTTTTGAATTTCAAACCCAACAGTTTTTCGCTTATTTCATGTTATCCCCGGGCATCAATTTGCAATTGCAAAGACTACGTTCAAAATATACATTACTAACACCCCAGTCACATTTCCCACGGCCGCAGTGCGGTCTATCATTTCTGCGGCCAGTAGCTTTTCTACGCTCGCCGAAGAATTTCTGCGCTCTCATACCCTTGCAGTCACATTTCCCACGGCAGCCGCACGGTGAATTTTAAATTTCTGTTGATAAATAATACTTTTTTTTCATTTTATTTACATCAGGACAATTTATAAATGTTATTCATAGTGCTAGGATGTAATATCAAATGAAAAGTGATCGTGAAACATTGACAAATAATGATTCAATCTTGTTGAGCCAGTTGATTTCTACGGGGACCTCAGAAATGAACAAATATTATAACTCCGAGTAATAATTTCTACGGCGACCCTGCGGCCTGTAAAAAACTGGATACGCCATACGGAGGCCGCAAGGCGAGCGTAGTTTTCCTACGACCGCCGCAGAAATACACTGATTTAATTGATCTGCGGTCGACGCACGCCCTCCGTACGACAATGAGACTGGGGTTTACATGCATCACCGAATGCGATGCTTACATAAATCGTTCATCCTTCCATTGATACACAGTAGTAGAAAATAATGCACCAACCTTAGTTTTCTGTTCCATCGCGGCCATTTTATTGGAAAAATCATTGAACGTAGCCGTCCAACCTCGTTTTCAGAGGTGGCGTAACCGTCATGCTATAGCAGGGTGCTTATGCCTTGGTCACATTTGCTCCGATTTTCACTACGGTTCATGGCCGATTGAGTATTATCTTCAAAACTGAATACAATTTTAGACAAAATACTCAATCGGCCGGGCGATGAATCGGGGCAAATGTAACCCAAGGATAAGTTGACCACCTAATGCCTTGGTCACATATGTTCCAGTTTTCACGACGGCGCCCGGCCAATTGTAATTGAGAATTTTGTTCAAAATTGAATACAATTTCATATACGTAAAGAAAACAAAGTGTATAAAATATGTTGATTCTCTAATAAATAGATGAATAAAGCAGTTTCATGTGAGATTAACTTTGCTTGTGCAAATACTTGTAATCAAATTAAAACTGAATTATGTAGTGTGCCTTGATTTTATTAGTCAATAAAACATTTTATATGTGTCTGGTCATGCCTGGGTCACATTTGCTCCGATCCATCGCCCGGCCGGCCGATTGAGTGTTTTGTTCAATATTGTATTCAGTTTTGAACAAAATAACCAATCGCCCGGGCGCCGTAGTGAAAATCGGAGCAAATGTGACCAAGGCATTATGCAAAACAGGCATCATCAGCTGTCGAGTAAAACTACTTTACCAAAAGCAAATTCCATAATGAGGCGGTTACCTGAACCATGGACTTTCAATTAGTGATTTTGTATCTTTTAAGTGACCATCCTCCTAAGCAGGTATCCAGAATCCGTACCTCCTTCTTCCGGGGGTAAAAAGAAAGAATATATTCTGGATTTTGAAGCCCTGTGATCGGAGGATGTTAAGCGACATGGTAGAGAATATTTTGCAATGTGTGAAGAGGTTAAGCCAAAGATTCAATGCATTTGTGGAATGACCATTCCTTTCAGGCGTTGTTTCCTAAAGTTATTTGAAAACAACACCTTCAAATGGTCATTCCACATGACACTGAGTCCAGGGCTTAAATCCTTAGATAATATAATTAGGCTACAAGTATTGTAGAATTTCATGCAAAAGTCCAAATATGTATGTAAATTAAATGCATCAGGAAATTAAACTATATCGATATTGAAAGCCCATGATCTAATATTTTAAATATCCCTGCACCTACCTTTCTCTACAGTTCCCATTACTGAAGTTAATCCTTGTGAATACCCTCTTAAAATTTGCAATGATAACCCAGATCCTCAAGCTTCAACATCTGCATAAAGACTAGTTGGAGGCATGTTATGTCAACAAATAGTTTTCAGCAACTGCAAAACTATTCACAGACACAGGGTGGCCCAAAAGAGCTGATCCTAAATACGCTCAAATAATTCACGAAACACATTATTTTTATGTCAGCTGTACGGTTCATTTAAATAAGAACTATAGAAATAATTATATGTTCATGATGTGAAGTATCAACTCATCAACAATAATGCATACTAGATAAAGTATTCAGTCTCAAATGATGTGGGACAGACAGAATCAAGTCTCGAAGTCCATAAGCATATCCAAGGGTCAACATCCATCCCCAAATCCGACGCTGTGAAAAATTCTCGTTTTCTCGATCCTCGTACACTAAGACTCTGGGTGTCAGCCCGAAAACATGAACAATAAGTGAAAAAGACATATTTCCTGACTGAACGAAAGCGCAAAAAAATTCAAACAGTAATAGCCGTCACTTTGGCTGGAAATGAGAAGATTAGATTTTCATCAGGCGGCCATTTTTGGATTTACAAGGCATTCGTCGTCTATGTAACAAAAAGCAGGTGGTGACATTTTCAAATTTTGTATGTAAATGCCCTTTGATGCTGTTCGGTGCACCGTTTTGGTGTACCTAAATTGCTAAAACCATAGGAAATATTGCATCATTTTTATCCTGAGGCAGAATCTAATTTGTAATTGTCAGTAGTTTTGAAACGATAATACCCCTATGTTCTTAAAACTGGTAGTAGAGTATTCGTGTCTCATTTGCAAAGTCTACGCCCATGATGTGATGCCATATATCAAATGATTTCTTGAGTAGAGGTCTTATGATGACCACAAGCCGACATATTTCTAACATCTGACATTTCTTCATATCCATAATAATGTACGATATGTACGGGTATAATTGTTACATTTTGACGCAACCATAAGTACACATGCATCGTGCTCCTTCCTCAGAATAACTTGCTTGGGGCGTTAGACCATGATGTGTTTCGAAACGTCAATACTAAAAAGGTAAATAGCTTGTATTCGCGAATGCAACTAACCCCTGTCGGCTCCCAGATTAACCTACTATTTTATGGGTAACTCATTTAAATATGAATAGTACCTACCACTATTCTAATCATATTTAAATGAGTTGGTCATAAAATAGTAAGTTAACCCGGTAGCCGACTGGCGTTAGTTGCATTCGCGAATGCAAGGTTAGTTTCGTCAAAAAGTAAGAATTATGGATATAAATGTAACCTACATATTGGAACCTATACATGACGATAAAACTATATCTTAATCTATTTAAACAACATTCAGTTACCGTTGTAATTATCTTAATCTTTTTAAACAACATATCTTTATTCTGTGTTGTTATTCCCAATGGAAAGTGTGCCTGGTAAAGTTAAGCATTTTGCGTTGGCCTTCCTTAGATTCGGAATTCATATATTGACATGCAAAACCAATACACAAAGGTTGAAAACGCTTTAAATAAGCTAATGGAATGTTTTGTGATTCAAATATTGAACAAATACACTTTCATTCCCACGGTCTGACTTATTCGAATGGTTATAAAAATTGTATGTGGATCTCTTTGCAAAATTCCACACACCCTGTACTAAAGAAATCAATATTTGCTCAATGTTTCTGCGTTTAAACAGGGCAAATATTTGTTGATATTTATGTTATAGAGTACAGTAAAACTTGTGTATAGAGAACATTTTTTGCCAAGAAAAATCTTTAACGTAAGTATGTGACAATTCTAACAATATCACCTCCAATGAATTTTGAGAATGGATGGATTTGGGATATTTGCGAAGAATGAAACGAATTAGGTAGACATGACACATGCAAGCTACAAGTATATTGACTTATTAACAAATGCTATCACCTGTTAGCTGGTAGAAGAAACACTAGAGCAGAGCTCCGGTATGGGGGATTTTTGACATGCTATTTTAAATTGCCATGCAGAATATTTACTTGATCTTTTTTATACTTTTACAGCTTGCTTAATGATACTCTCAGGCTAATTTATACAAATTCTCAGTGAATTTGGTTAATCAGTCGCCGAGGAAATACTTGGCAAAATGTGTCTCATTTTTTGGGACACACTCTTGAATATGAGAATGTCATAATTTTGACTGGCGGATTTTCGGACATGAAATCACAATTACGATAATGCACGGTATTTTGTAACTTTCAATTTTGACCAAAGTTACTATGCTTGGGGAAATTTAGAATGTCACTCGACTTTTTGGTTTTGATTTTGAAGTCATGTCTGCACTTCGAATTCGTAGTTCAAAATCAATTCTGTAGCAATTTGACACCACCTCCTAATTTGGCCCTGTGACATTTTATTGTTTTTTCAAAACATATTCTCTCAAAATCAGGAAATAGGGTGATAAGCAGGGAAATTTTGTAGGGAATTTCAGTCACAAAAAACAAATTGCTACTGAAGCCTAGTTTAAACAAATTGGTTCCTTAACTGTATTGGCAGAATTGGCAAAATTAAATCCATTTAATCAAATTCTAGATTTCATACATGTTCAGAATTCACAATTTATTTGAATATTCCATAATATTCCATTTGATACAATTTCTACATGCCTCTGATCCTAAGCAAGCGTATTAAAGCATTATTATAATTTAATAGTTATCACTATCTATTAAATGTTTCTATTTTACATACATATGTATAAACCAGAACACAAGTAGGCATTTTGTGTTTTTGATCTTGTACCGGTATTTATTAATGTTTTTTTGAAAGAAGATCATTTCTTATTGTTTTAATTGACTTTCACCCTGTATATTATGTATATCAGTTTCATTGAACAAGCGTGTCCAGTCCCCAGTGGTCACTATATAGTTGTCAGCAGTATAACAAATGTTTAAATGTCACTTTGAATTGCGTAGTTACTCATCCAGCCATATATCTGAACTGCAGTCTCCTCCTGGGTAGCGGATCTCATGAGCAAGCACAGCGCCCTCTGGCTCAAGTCCAAAGTCCACGAAGAAGTTACGGTTCAACTTCAAGCCACCTGTGTCTGTGTTTACATCAATTTGCATCATCACAGAACCTTTCCTATAATTATAATGATTTATAACTATCAGCTTTTGGAATCTTTTCTGACCTCAAGATCTATAAACAGGTTTCTAAGAAATTCTCACAATTTTACAATATTTTATGGTCACAACATTCCATGTCATGCCTTCCTTCAACAGTCAAACAGAGTTTCCTTTATTTCATAAATTTGTTTTGATTGATATGGTTGTTTGGCAAGGCCATTAAAAAGTGAACTCGCCTCTTTAATTCTAATGAATTTGCACATTTCTACATCTTCGTCTACAACTTAATTTGATATTTTTTCGGATGAAATCAGGTTTTCAAGGGAAACACTTGTATTGGACAATTCCATTCAAAATGGATTGAATAAAAGATCCATACGAGCATATATGATAATAATCGTATAATCTGAGACTAATATACTCTAAATGTTAGTCTCAGGTATAATCCATTATTTTCATCTATAAGTTTTCTCAATTTATTCTTCTATACAAGTTCTCCAAAGCCTCATGTTTATCACAAAATGGTTGTTCAAATGTTGAACAAAAAGTGGTGACATATTGTGTCATACCTGAGACTAACATAAAATGATGGTCTCAGGTCATACATACTGATATTATTATCAAGAAAATCTCAGCTTATAAATAATGATTTAAGCCACTATACAGAAACTAGTGAATGTACTATATGGTACATCCACAGGCCCGCAGCCAGGCGAACCCCTCACTCTCTGGCCAGAAATTCTTTCAAAATCATGTAGCTTTTCACGATTTTGAGCATTTTCATGTGATTTTGGCCCAAATCTGTCAAAGCATAGTGAATCCCCCTAGAATTTTCTGAAAAGAGAACCCCCTTGTCAAAAGCTGGCTAAAATCCTGATCCATATTGAAATACCTACTTAACAAGATCAGGGTAGAACTGCTTATCCCATCCACTGTAGAGTGAAGTGGACACATAGAGACGTTTGCCATCTAGACTGAGTTGGATCATCTGAGGTCCACCTTCTACACGCTTTCCATTGAAGAACAAAGGATCAGGTTGTTCCTACGGAAACACAGGATTAAATGTGTGAAATAAACTTTATCATATTTTAAAGATTGCAGCAGTGCAGATCCTTGCAGTATAAAATTCCACTGAGCAAAATAAAGTGAATCAAATCACACATTTTGAGAACTCAATGATGGAAATAACCTAAAGATAACAGTAAGAGTCTCCCTTTGGCAATTGGCAAAACTCTTATGAAGATATTGTATACCTTGTAAAGTAGTTTTATTTTTTATATGAACTAAATAAGAGTAGTTTAATCACAATCACAATATTTTATTGTGATCTCAATGTGAACTGTTTTGATATTAAATTATGAGTACATAATGTATGTGTACAAATACAGGGTGGCCCAAAAGCACCATTTTTGTGTGTATGTATGTACCTGTAGCTCCTCATCTTGTTGTACTCTTACAGTACTGTCCTTGCAACAGCTACCTCCTAGCCATACCTATATAACAGTTCAATGTATTATATTAATATTAGTAACAGAAATACAATAATTTACCTATCAAGAGGTTGAAAGTTTCAGTAGTTTGGTTTGGTCATCTGTGAACTGAGATTTCACTGTCAACCAAGGCTACGTGTAGATGAGATTTAAGATTGAATAAGATTGATTGTTTATTCAAGTTGACATCATGTTGCTTACCTGTCCAACGAGCTTAGGATGTCTGCGGTCAGTGACGTCATATTGTCTGATATCTCCGTGGAGCCAGTTACTGAAGTACAGGAATCTGTCATCCAGAGACAGTAAAATATCTGTGATAAGGCCTGAAAACAACAATTTATAATGTAAGATATATAGGATTACTATCAAAAATTCCATATTTTCTGGTTGCTATGTTTTTAAATGTGTGGTTCATCAGGCTCAACTGGCCATCTTATTTTATTCTCGAAAATTACAATGATTCTCTTTTTGAAACGCTCTCAAAAATTATTCCCCATGGTAAAGGTTGGATAAAAATAATGTGTAGAAATGGAAAAGAAACATTTTTTTTAATTTGCATCAACATAATACAACTACATGTGCAGGTATATACAAATTTATGACAAAACAATGGAAAGTCAAAATAAAACAATCGGCTGATATAAGATGTACTCTCAGAGAAGAATCATTGACCACAAGATATGGCCCAAGGTTTACCTGGCATAACAGGAAGTGCCCATCCTTCTACCTTTTTTGGAGGTATAGCAATCACTTTCTCTGCATCCCATGTTCCTTCCTGCAACAAACATCACAAATATGCAGGTCATATAGAATAAAAGGTTCTAATATACACTGTAGCCTCACAATTCTGAATTCACATGTACAGTCTGCTGAGTGGCATTATAGATAAAGCAGGGGTTAACATGTTTAAATGAACTTAATGGAAGTATAATCAACTCAAAAATGTACTGAAATGCTCATATGACAGTATGGTGAGATCTGGCTAGTACTATTTTTATAATTTGGTCATACTAATGGCCTGTAACTATTTCCTAAACTGAAGAGATTACAGAAGTCACAAGTTGCAATGTGTATATACAAAAACAATAAATACTTATACTATCCTTAATAAAGGGGCAACAAAAACTAGAGTTACTTTCTAAGGTCAAAAAGTTCTGGCTCTATTTCAAGAGAATGCTTTGATTTATAAGATTATTTGGCAACTTTTGAAAAACTGGACATTTCCCTTTCCAAATCTTTTCTTCTTCATCTTAATTCTTCAATAATGTTCAAAGAGCGAGGGAAAGTATCGCAACAGATTTTTGACAGTAAATAATTTTTTTCTAGTAGTTTCTGGCTGTACAAAAATGAATGCATATGAAAGGCCAATGTATAATCTTTAAGAAAAATTCAAAAAATGGTTTCAAGATCAATTGGATTATCTCATAAGCCATGTTTAATCCACCCATCAACAAGCTTTTTTTCAAAATACAATCATCATTTTCACCATCGTCCCTCATTTTTTTTACAATTTTCAAGCAAAGTTACATTGTACTTGAACACATGTTTCATCACTTAAAATATATAAGGAACTCCTCGTGGATTAGGATTATGATAATCCTATATAAGGGGATCCAATGGGGCTATGCTTTTAGTACAGCACACTCATATAAGATGTCATTAGTGTGCCATCAAGTTAGTTCAAAATGTTTTCATAAATGAATGGTTGGACTTGTTTGATCCCCTGCTGTTTGATCCCCTGTTTAATCAATGGAGCATAACCGCAGCATTTCCCAAAAAATTCTGAATACCTGTCAAGTTGACTGTTTAATGTTTGAGTGCAGTTAAACCTGTGTTCGTGTGTAAGTTGCTAAGAAATTCTAAATACCTCTCTTTATGATAATTTCTATGATGCCTTATTATAGCATTTACTTTGAACAGGTTTTCTGTATCTTGTTTATCAGTAATGATTCACGAGGTACAGTGCTATTAAAATCATAAATACAGTACAAGAATTTAGTACATCATACCTTTGCCAATAATTTTAGTAAGACAAATATTTTGATCCAGCTTCTGAAAAAACATTGAACATGTTTCTATATGATGATGTGTTATAACACACTTCCTTATTTGAGTTTATCTCCAGATTGATTATTCAAATAATGAAATGAAGGATGATATGCTAAGAATAATTTTTGCATATTCATCAATTCAAGAAATGTTATCCCAAGAAAATGTTATGAGTAACATACACTCTTACCTTAATGTTAACATTAGGGAGATTAAGCTTGCATATAAAATCGAAACGCCAACCTATGACCAATCGCCCATACAAATGCATCGCTAAATATTTTCCATTCACATTTAGGTTGTGAAAAACATTGCAAGCTTAAAGTCCCTATTGAGAGTCTCTGAAAACCACAATCAATACCATTGAGTGTGTGGTGTATACTACCTTTATCATTATTTCTAAGATTTACAATAACATATTTTTAGCAAAATGTCCGATTTTCTTCCATATTAATGTGAACAAATATAAACAAACATAGAATGATTCTATTGGTTGAGTCAACAATTTCAGTTATTAGGGAGGTTAAGATCGCACTATTTTGATGAACGTACACATGGAATGTGTAAACTTATGGTCCCCTATTCACGGTGTTATAGCATGACGGTTACGTCAAGGCGATTTGCAAAATTTTGCGGTAACGATAACAAAAAATGGCGGATGGGAAAGGCAGCATCTCCTCTTTCTCGCCTGTAGGCAATATTCACAGATAAGATTTCCTTTTAAACTAGTTCCATTCGGTGACGTATATATGGATGGTTATAAAGACTGGGTCAAATCTGCCAGGTGGTCTACAAGAAACAGAATATAATCTGTAAACCTACCGACTGAGATATCAAAGTTTATAAGTTTTGGTCCATTCTCGTGTTGTCTCAGTACATGAGCCACTCAAAATATTAACTGTTAGTATAAGTAAACTGTGTATAACTACTGCAAATTCAAAATACATTATAATGGCTTGAGTAGAACATATTAGGTGGTTTCCAATGCTCAATTGGCTTTGTATGATCGTATGTAGGTTACATCTATATACCACAAGGTTTTTAGGCAATGTAGACCATGCCCTAACAACAAAAACAAAAATAAACAAATTACTAAATTTTTATGTAGTTTTGAATTTCAAACTCGACAGTTTTTCTCTTATTTCATGTTATCCCCGGGCATCATTTTGCAAAGGCTACGTTCAAAATATACATTACTGAAAGTATCACCGAATGCGATTCTTACATAAATCGTTCATCCTTTCGATACACAGAAGTAGAAAATAATGCGCCAACCTTAGTTTTCTCTTCCATCGCGGCCATTTTATTGGATAAATCAGTGAACGTAGCTGTCCAACCTCGTTTTCAGAGGTGGCGTAACCGTCATGCTATAACACCGTGCTATTGACTATTTTCACATCACTGGCCTCTTTTTGCCTGATTGATATAATGCCAATTGATGTAATGGTCCCCAGTTATTCCAGTTGAGAGATGGACAACATTACTGGGGGTCATAACAGTACTCGTTCATGTTCAAGTTCTCACACAAGTGTTTTACACAGTCTGTAGCCAGCTTTTACCAAGGGGTAGGAGCAGTTTTACCAAGGGCAAAGCTTTTGCCTAGGGATGAACTTTTTGACAGTTTTGGCTAAAAAATCATGCGAAGTGCTCAGATTGGTGAGAAACTGCATCCTTTTGAAAGAATCTCTTGGGGGAGCAGCAGCTCCCTTTATCTCTCCCCCTCTACCTGCCTATGAGCCTGTGTACTTAACCTCTCTAATGTTCATGATCAATACTAAATGTAAAATTTTCACATTTTTCATATTTCTACTATTCATATTGACCAATCCCCATTCATGTCATTTTAACAGGTCCTTAATCCCTTGTTTTCTAGTCGTATGTGCTTTTATTATTCAGTTTCACAATCTATTGTTTTGCCATGCCAGTTCTACATGTTTGCATGCTGAGTTTGTTTTATGTAATGTTTTTTGTTCCTTATATGGTTTACACATTCACTCAGTTGAGTTGGGGTGTTGTTTGTGACTGTACATACACAAAGCATTTCAAATATATATTTTAGAAAACATTTTATATTTGATTCCCACCCAAGGGTCTTCCACTCACCCATTAACATAAACAAAACATGAACTCTAATAAAAATGCCAACAAGACTGCAAGGGAAACTTAATCTATGAATTGGACGACCCTCTCCCACGGTGTATAATCCAAACGCTCCTACATACACGACGGAGCGTTTCATTACTGAAATTAAACAAAGAAACGCTCCGGAGTAGGAAAACTGTCTGGCGGGAATGATGAGCCGTCTGACAATTTCCCCAATAATGGGACTAAGAGGTATGAGTTACATATTTCGAGTATACCATTCGATGGGTGTGATATTCATGTTGTACGTGGCTGGCTGTTGACGTTTGAAGCAATTGGGAAGAGCTGTACGAAGCAGTATAGTTATCAAAATTCAAAAACGTATTTGTCATTCTACCGGTCAAAACCCCTTTTGTCGATACATGTGATTAGTTGAGCCAAGATAAGAGCACCAACGTATATTTTAGTCAAATTCCAATGCTTCAACGCACCATACATTATCGTAATAGTGATTTGATGACCGAAAATCCAGTCTTAAAAATGATGACATTCTCATATTCAAGAAACGCTCCGATCTGGTTAACACAGTGAATTGAAAACGCTCCGGTAGTCTAGATCAGTTAAGGAAATATATAGCTTGCCTTTCCTTTTCAGGAAGAGAAAGAAAAGATCTATTATACCCCTTGGCATCAATAGAAGAAAGATTAATTCACATGTAACTTTTCGTTTTTTTCTATAGTTTTATGATTTAGCACATATGTAGGCATGACATCATCTAATGTAGGCTTAAATCAGCTAGTTGCACGTTTAGCACCACCAGGTTCAGATGTTTCAATTTGCCTAACAAGTACAACACGTTTTTGAGAGATAGATTCGATTCGGAACTCTTCTCTAATAATCTGAAAATGATATCAAAACAAAATGGTAAGAGCGTTTCTAAAATTGTGGTCTAAATCGACGGAGCGTTTCGAGGAAAACAAGCGATTTCTCGAGAACAAGTAATGGATTTGGACTGGGATTTTAGGAAATGAGAATATACGAGTTTGTGATCTACTACTTAAACAGAAAGATTAACGTTTTCATAGAAATACTAGTTTAATTCGTAATTTGTGGTCAAATCGTTATCTTCAGATTCGTTCGATCTACACTACGGAGCTTTGATCAAGCAAATAACAGTTTACCACCAGAAGTTGAATAAATAAGATCTTTGCTCACGGTATTGTTCATCGAATGGTACATAATATTTCACCATGACATATGATATGTAAGAGAAACGAGAGAAACAATACTTAGGGTCATAGTAGAATCTTCATTAGCCGCCATTTTATTTCGCTCCGGAGCGTTTCCGCGTAAATGTAACGCTCCGTCGTGCATGTAGGAGCGTTTGGGTTATACACCGTGTCTCCCCTAGGCACATTTTCTGTCAACATCCTGCAATTTTTCACCACTTTAGTACTTTTCAAGTGATGTTCGGATGATGCTTTCATTTAATTGCTTGCACTGATGGTTTCTCTTGAAAATTCATGCACATAAGGTGATCTAGTATTTCAACACAGGACCCTGAATGTGCTATTTGAGCTTGAAGTAGAAGTATTCATAGTATTACTGTTTGTATTATTAAGCTCTATGATTTTTCAATAGGCTAACTCAGTCAGTGAATGCAGGATTAAAACACAACACACATGAGTAATTCACCCACCTATGCATGTTATTATTGAAAAACATTGCCATCTTTTACATCACTCCTAAATTATTTTTGTAAACATGCATTTTAAGAGGTTCATTTTTTCAAAAAAAACTCAAAAACAAACTTCATGGAGTTCCTTACATATTTTACTTGATGAAACATGTGTTCAAGTACAATGTAACTTTGCATGAAAAATTGTAAAAAAATGAGGGACGATGGTGAAAATGACGAATGTATTTTGAAAAAGCTTGTTGATGGGTGGATTATACATGGATTATAAGATAATCCAATTGATCTGGAAACTATTCTTTGAACTTTTCTTGAAGATTATAGATTCGCCTTTCCCAAGCATTTACTTTTTACAGCCAGAAACTACTCACAAAAAAATTATCAACTGTCAAAATTATCAAAAGTCTGTTGCGATACTTTCCCTGCTCCTTTGATCATGATACATGTATCTTGATCTTTCATTCAGAAAACAAAGTTAAGACTTTATAGGAATAATGCTGGCATGCTTCTGGAAATCTCTATATGAAACAATTTAATGCACATCATAATTTTAGTACTTGGGGTTTGGACTCCTGAACTAAACTTACTTCAGTTCTGAAGAATCTGAATATAGTTGAGCTCAGGGCGCATCCTACAAACCCCTCAGTTGCTTTTGGGTCGTGCATGAAGCGGATCTCTAGTGGTATCATACCATCAGGTCCCAAATCAATCCTCTGGGAGAGAGTTCTGTTGGTCCAGTCCCATACATTCAGTGAGCGACCATAGCGACCTACATGAACATTACAAGTTCACATACACATGTAAGGCACACATGAGAAAGCACAAGATTGCACAGTGAGTAATAAAATCTTACCATAATCAATTGGAAAAAGTATTTGAAAGAGTTATTTCATAATGTTTCATTGCCACGGTAGAATTCTGTCTAAGTCAATCTGAACAAAATCTCTTGTGTCATCTTTTCTCTCATCTTTTTTTGCTTTAATAACTTGTACCAATGAGGAATGGAAGTCAGAATGTAACATCAATATTCTCTAACATAGCTAGTGTTAGTCCTGGAGTCGTATTTCTCACTTCAAAATTTGAAACGCAAGTTTTGGTCTTATTACTAAAACAAAAAAATCAAAAAACACAAGAAATGATCAAGATAAGGTAAATGCCAGACAATAATGACGCCTGAGCTTTGTTAGAGAATATTGTTCATTCTCCCCGCAGCCGTAAAAATATAGACATGATCGGCAATATCGCATTACTTGGAGATTAAAGAATATCGAGTTGGAACTCTGGCTTCCAATCCGCCTTGCAACTTGTAGAATATAATAGCTTCAAACATTTCAGATCTAATTTAAAATTCATTAAAAAGAATAAATGAAATTATTTGACAAACAAGAATTCGTTATTGCTATATTATAAAAATACTTCAAATGTGAGTACTGTATACAAATGCAAGTGTGATGGCGTGCGTACCTTTAGCACAATCTGCAGGGTCAAAGCCTTGAAGTAAAGCCCTTGGCACACCCCATTCAGTGCTAATCATCACATTGTGCTTAGGTTGATACCAGAAGTCGTAGCCCATTGAGGCGGCAGTCTCCTCCCAGTTGCCAACAACATTGAAGTTCTCTCCATCAATCAGGACAAATCCTCCTGTAAACAAATGTTATTTTAAAATCCTCTCTATCAATCAGGATTAATCCTCCTGTAAACATATGTTATTTTAAAATCCTTTCTTTCAATCAGGATAAATCCTCCTGTAAACACATGTTATTTTAAAATCCTCTCCATCAATCAGGATAAATTCTCCTGTAAACACATCTTATTTTAAAATCCTATCTATCAACAAAGATGAATCCTCTTATAAATACATGGTTTTAAAATCATCTCTATCAATCAGGATAAATCTTCCTGTTTTATGTTATTTAAAAAGCATCTACATCAATAAGGATGAATTCTCCTGAAAAAACCTATTCAGAATAAATCTTCTTGAAAATACATGCTATTTTAAAATCCTCTCTATTAATCAGGATAATCCTCCTGAACATCTTTCAATCAGCCAAGAGGAAATGAATCCAAGGTCATTTGCACTTATGTGTAGTCTTTCTTAAATAGTGAAAACATGTGATAGCCTATTGAAGGAAATATGAAAGGAAAATGAGTATCCATGAAAAGGCATATTTTAGAACATTCCGTAAACTAGGTTTTATAATTTTATCTTGCTTAGTATAATTTGCTTTTTTGCCATATTCTGGGTATTTGCTTCTACATGTATATAATTTGGCATATTCAAAATATCACAGAAAACCATTAAATTGATAGTCAGAGTTTGTTCATTTTGTGCAGAATTGGTAAATCCCTATTTATTCAGATAACAATTTTATCTCATTTTGTTTGCATGCTAGTGCTTGCAATCAATAAACCTCAAAGGGGCTCGAACTCTGATCCTAAAATACTCAATAAACAAGAAATAAACTACGAACCTACTTTTCTGTAAATATTAAAATTCGAAAAATTAAAACAGAAATTTTCATTGTAATATAGTCATTGATAGTGTTAGTTGTATCTTGCTGCTCTTTATTAGTTTGTTTCTGAAGTAACTTACAGGTTGAGCCAACTTTAGATGAATCTTGGCAAACATTGTATAATGTCTGCAATATCAATAGATTGTTCTTAAACTACTGATATAACCAGAACAACGGCAACGCCAAAGCGTAGCGAATCCCATCGAACAGAAATGGCTGGCATTTTTACAAACGAAGCGCAAATATCATAAAACAACACACCAGAAAGGCCACCATTTTCAAAATGGTTGCTCACTAGCCAAGTTGTCATCAGAAGAAATAATATGCTTTTAAGTAGCCACCTCTAAAATTTTTTGAAAAATCGCACACATACTTGTAAAATAACACACGTAAAAATGGTGGCCCCAAAGTTTTATAAAACAATGTGCCATGCTTAAAGTATTCACATATCAAATATGAACAAAATCGCTCCACTACTTTTCGAGTTATAGTAAAATACGTTAAAATGGCGGCCATTTTTCAAAATGGCCACCTTCTACCAAAAGCGTCATTAGAAATAGACGGTGTTCCATGCTTATAGTATTTACATACCAAATATGAACAAAATCGCTCCACTACTTTTCGAGTATTAGTAAAATACGTTAAAATGGCGGCCATTTTTCAAAATTGTTTTCAAAATGGCCGCCTTCTACCAAAAGTGTCATAGGACAGTGTGCCATGCTTATAGTATTCACATACCAAATATGAACAAAATTGCTCCACTACTTTTCGAGTTATAGTAAAATACATTAAAATGGCGGCCATTTTTAAAAATATTTTTCAAAATGGCCGCCTTCTACCAAAAGTGTCATAGGACAGTGTGCCATGCTTATAGTATTCACATACCAAATATGAACAAAATCGCTCCACTACTTTTCGAGTTATAGTAAAATACGTTAAAATGGCGGCCATTTTTCAAAATGGCTGCCATTTTTCAAAATGGCTGCCTTCTACCAAAAGTGTCTTTAGACAGTGTGCAATGCTTATAGTATTTACACACCAAATATGAACAAAATCACTCCACTTTTTTTTGAGTTACAGCAAAAATCGTAAAATGACGAGTAAAGGCCGCCATTTTTCAAGATGGCTGCCATGTGCTTTTTAATATCTACATTTGTAGCATTATTAATGTCCTTTATAATTTTTTTACATTTAAAACATATTGCTATTACAGTTTTACATATTGCACCTAAATTACTGTAAAATCGTCACTAAAATGGCCGCCATTTTGAAATGAGCGGCCATTTTGAAAATCGGCTTTCGAGCAGAACTTCTACCCCCATAGGGTATATGTGTACGAAATATGAACAAAATCGGGCCAACGGTATTTGAGTTATTGCCCGGACGTACGTACGGACGGACGGACGGACGGACGTACGTACGGACGGACGGACGGACGTACGTACGTACGTACGGACGGACGGACGGACGCGTTCCCTATATCCCTCCGAACTTTGTTCGATGGGATAATGATTAAATTGGAATTTGAACTTCTGACTTGTAAATTATTATCTTGTAAGTAGAAGTAAATGATTAATAAATATATCACCATCTCTTGTTTTGAAGATATGTAGGTCTTTATGTACATGTAATCCAGACACAGCTGGAAATTTGCATAAAAATTCCATACTTGACATATACTGTAACTTGACGAAATACTCAACCTTTTAAAATTGTACTGAATGCAAGGCTAAACCCCTGTGATATGAATAATAACTAGATATATGACAACAAAAGGCATAATTTATTTTGTGCATACGTGATCACAAGCATGTATGAGGATTGAAATGCTATACACCAAAATAAGAGTCAAATATATAGACCAGCCACGTCATGTCAAGGTTATAAATTATACAGACTTTATGAGTCTAGATACAATAAATTTATAATCAACATAATAGGCCAGTCTACAGCAAGCATTTTGGGAAGTCAGAGGGCCACTTGTTGTTTTCTGAAAGATTACTTTATGTAGCATCAATTCACATATGTCTGGGTCGTATTAGTTTGTGGACGAAGGATTCTGAGCCTTTTTACCCCCCTAGAATAATATTTGAGGGGGGTATTAGATAATCATTCCATGAGGGCCACTTGTTGTTTTCTTAAAGATTACTTTATGTAGCATCAATTCACATATGTCTGGGTCGTATTAGTTTGTGGATGAAGGATTCTGAGCCTTTTAACCCCCCTAGAATAATATTTGAGGGGGGTATTAGATAATCATTCTATAACATCAATTAAATATTTGGTATAGTACTGATTCCTATCTAATATGTCACTAGTACAATGGTCAAGTGTATCCTAAAATTATAGAGAGATATGTTGATTGGTTCAGGAAAAAACACAATTTATAGAAATAAAAAGGCATATTTTCGTTCATTTTTTGCTTTCACAAACAATAGGCAGTAAGCAGTAATAGTGCTCCAAATAGTATTCATAAATCATTTCCAAGTTATGTGTGGCATTGTAATAAAAGGAATGTAATGATTAAGTACTATTTTGTATTTTTAATATGGCTTTGTTGACCCCTACCCCTTAGAAATATGAGAAAGTGAAGGTGGCACAATTAGATCAGAAATTCTATAATGAGTACTAATACTTCTCCAAGTAGCATTTAAAAATGTATTTGTGTGATATATATAGGTAATTTAATGGGAGGGATGCAATCTAAATTTTATTCTGAGGGAAAATATGATATTGGCCAAGGAAAATATCATATTGACTGAGGGCAATAGCCCGAGTGCTAATATGATAATTCTCGAGGCGAATAAAATTTCATTATTTCATGGTTTAATACAATTGTAGTTACAAATATGAGTGACAAATCACTAAAAGTAAGCATTATAAGTTCACTCTAGTCTATATATCAAAAGAACAATGAGTGTGTGGAAAGATGCATTTTTCTGACAAAAAGGAGCTTGTGGTGTTTGCTGGGTAATGGTGGTGGGGCAAAATGATGAGATGATCTGTTGGAGTGGAGTTGAGTCGGAGATCCCATCCCATGAAACATTCTGGAGAAAGATATGGAGAACTTACTGTCTATAATTGTGTATGTTGGATTATTGGGAAGTGCTAAGTTTGGACTCCACAAATTGAGGTGATGGCACTCTTTATCCACATTTCCAAGTTTGATGAATAAAAAGGATATGATATAAACCAAGGATCTGTTGGTCTTTCCTCTTTAAGATGTGAAAATTAGCTTGCTGGAGTATATGGCCCACCTTAGGTATATGGTTCACTTTTTAAGAAAACCTTTGTACCCTGCTTGAATGCAAAATATTACCTCTGGCATTTCCATTTGGGTCCCCAAGACAACTGATCATGATCTTGCCATTAGCGAGGCAGTGAGAGGTGTGGGGGGTACTGAGTCCTGTTACGCGATGGACCTCACTTGGTTCAACGATCTGAAAATTCCAAACACAGAACACTCAATTAAAGCAGCTACACTCAACTAGACTGTCAATGTTGAATTGAAACAAGACACATATTGATAAATATTAAACTTTTTATCAAAAAATTCAAAATAGCCACAAAGTGTTTTACCCAGGATGCCTAAAGCCTAATTAGATCTTACTTCTCCTAAGAGAACGCCCATATAAAAAAGTGATATCCCGAGTGATATAGTATTCACACAGATGCCTGGGTGTTTCAAATAATCTAAAAAAGAACAATTTAGCAACCTGTTGAAGATTGATTATGCATGATAAAAAAATTCTGACAATATCAATGCTTGAAAAATGACTGACCTTGTAAACTCTATGAGAAGTACAAAAATCTATGACGCCAGTGTCTGACTTATTTATTAAAAGGTATCATATATTAATGGTGTAATGAACATACCATTCTTACAGACAGACAGGTTTTTGAATTAATATGCAATGCTAGTCCTAGTGTTAGTCTATATATATATATTTTTTTTTTATTCATCTATACATTACATTTACATATACTTTACATATTTCTGCTTGACATCCTCTTAAACTTACTATGTTATCAATCAGTTACAGAAAGTGGTTGTTTTAATCTTACATGATGAATCTTTGGTGAACGAGGTTCAGAACTTGTATCAATGACATAAACTCGATCACTCTTAAGACTTGGCATGATCAGCTTTGATCTACTTTTTGATGGATCATTGAAGCAACTGGAGCAGGCATTCCAACCAGTGTGATGTAATTCATCTCCTACATAGGGCATGGGAAGTCTATGGATCACCTAGAAAACAATAAAATACTGCATTAAAGATAATTGAAAAACATTATTAAAGAGTGTGTTTTTGCATCATTAACTATGCATTGTGAGTGTCATACATGTACTTTTAATATCAAATAAAGGTGATTAATTTACTTATTTAACTTAAATTGTAATATTTACAGATCACCAAGATCACTATAGCTAGTGACAAAGTTCATCAGAATTACCACAAGTACCACTTGAATGGAGCAAACTTTCCAATGATTGATTTTGACATAATCTTATGTAACAAGTTTAACTTAATAAAAACATTTGTGCCTTTTTATTTTTGGCAATTCTCATAACAATCTAAGTCTGCAACATTGAATTGTGGAAAGATTTGTTCAACCTTGGTAGAAAACATTCAATTTATTCAAAAGTTCAAGGGGACACAAATTATGAGAAAGTTGTTTTATTTGTGATTGTGCTGGTCTGATGCACAAGAGAAAATATCACTGCAGTCAGGTATTTAAATCTATTCAGGATTTAATGTTACAAGTTATAGCAGAGACATACATGACATGACATGGTATAGGTTTTTCTTGTGTATTTTAGGATATGTTGTACTTTTGATTTAGTCAGTATGGTAGAACCTGCTAAGTGGAACACCTCTATAAGTGGAACACCTTGCAAGTGGAACACTTTTTCAGAGTCCCGTTTTAAAAACCCATTGACTTAATGTTAATTGAACCTCTGTTAGTGGAACACCTCAAAACTTAAACAGAGGACACCCCATATTCAAAAATTAACCTGCTAAGTGGATCTTGTATGTTAGAATTTTACTCTAGTTTTCAAATATGTAATCTGATTTTGATAACACTGACAATTAAAAAAGTTATTAAAGAAAAAGTGACCATTGAACAATTCTGTCCAGGCTACTATGTAAACAGAGTTAAACTGCTACAGTGAAATCTGAGTATTTTTGTATATTTAGTTTATCATAGTTGTGCCAAATACAATCATATTATGATACAATATGTCATAGGATAGAGTTAGGAAGCCTGGATCACACAGTAATATGCACATACTAAATGGAGCAACATAATGTTTAACCCGATTGATTACCCAATATTATATATTTAGCTGGTATATACAAATATAATAGCTATCTTACTAATGTACATTAAAAACTTCAGATCTTTTCAAAGGTAATATTTATATAAGGTCCTTAAATCTTTTTCGAATTTACCTTGCTGTAAGAAGGTGAGTTTGGATTAACATCAACAGTGGCCAGGTAGTCGGGCTTTTTATCATGAGGAGTGTTGCGGTAGATACATGGCAGATATACAATCTCTTCTCTCTTACCATTGAGGTAGGCATCCATTGGTGTCTTGTATCCAGGCCCATGGCCACTGCAACAATCTGAAAAAATACATGGCACATACTGTATTGGACAATAACAATACATACGTTTTGTTTTGTTGGTGTTTATAAATGAGCATCCATATATCCTTTGTTGTCTATTACAAAAGATATCTGCATGGGTCATTAAGCAGATATGTAATTCAACAAGAAATCAAATTAAATAGGAAATATCGTTATTTGATAATTCAAATAGATTTACAGTTTCAGCTCATTTAAATAAAAATCTCTCTTTTAAAAGGCTGCATGCATTCATTTGGATATCTTCAGGGAAACCACAATTAGATTACAACATTGCCTATTGGCCATATTGACTCCAGTTTGTGACTAAAAAATGTTTTTTAAGTGTCACACATAAACGGGTTATGGACAACTCTTCACTTAGACAACTCATCCCCTGGACATCTCATCCCCTAGACAACTCATCCCCTGGACAACTCATCCCCAAGACAACTAATCCTTTATCACATGAAGCCAAAGTTTTTTTGGAAAATAAATATTTATTAAACACATCTTGAATCATTCTAAATATTATTTTTCACTTTATTGACACAAATAAAATGGTCAAACGGTGCCATTAAAACGTTCCTATTTTGTCCTTATATTACATGACTTAATATTTTATGATGAAAAATTAAGTTTTTTCTCTGCATAATGTTGAAACATGAACTTCAGTAACTTCAGTGTGACTGCTGTGAAAAAATATCTTTGGATTAAAGAATATTTGAACTATGAACAACACACATATAATGACATCAAAGGAGCTTGACATCAAAGGAGCTTCTTCAATCAATGTTAACATAATATTGAAATTGTATATTAAAAGTAAAATTAAAGGTAAATATTTACAAAACAAATTACAGATTAATTGGTTGATAATCTCCTTGACAATACCATAGTAGTACCATGGTATATCATAGTTTTTAAACAATTTTCCAGATTTCCCCTCAAGAAAGTCTTTGTTCACTTGCCAGTCAGAAGACAACAGAATCAGCGCTTTAATACCTTACTATTGTTATGTAAATGGAAAGAGTTAGAAGTGCAGATCTCACCCATTTTGAAGTTCTGTTTACAGAACAAAAGTTAGGCATTAAATCAAGGGTCGTGTTAATCATTTAAATAATAAATGAATTAATAATACTTGTACATTAAATTACTCAAACATGCCAAAGAATGAGTCGTCCAGGGGATGAGTTGTCTAGGGGATGAATTGTCCAGGGGATGAGTTGTCCAGGGATGAGTTGAATGTGGATAAGTAAAATAAGCAACATTAAAAATGAAAACTACACTGTTTAAAAATGACTTAGAACAAGGTGACCTTGTGTAAGGCTAGAAGCATAAAAACATTCAATGTTAATGGCAACATTAAAACACTCAGTGTCAATATCCTTACTGAGTATTTGCACTTGTAAGTAAAGAAAATCTCAAATAGACTGCTTTATCCTTTATGTACCCATTCCAAGGACACATTTCCAAAGAAAAATAATTTTTACAAATGAAAATAACTTAATGGTACCTTATTCCCTTTAAATGCAACATGGACTGATATATCTTCTTATACATTTTTCCAAAGTAGTTTCCATTTTTGCATTGTTTTCCTAAAGGTTTTCTCATTACAAACATGGATATATTACATGCTTATCAAATGCATCAAAAATAACCCTGATAATATGATCTGATAATACCATATTACACTCATCTGATATTCTAAATATCCACCTACTTTTCTCTTCAGTCCCCATTACTGAAATTAATCCTGTGTCACCTCCTGAGAATTCTTATTTAAAATGTGCAAGGATAATCCAGAACCTCAACCTCTATTCAAAGTCTGAATGAAAACTAGAAAAACAGCAACTCCACTGAGTAGCAAATCCCACCGAACAAAAATATTTTGATTATTATAAACAGAGCTACTGTGTCCCTAGGCATCAGCTTATAAAATTTGAAGAAAATCCATATACTGCTATTTGAGTTATCAAAGATTACATTTTTTAAAATTCAGCTGCCATTTTGAAAATTCTTTGTCAAACAGAGCTACTGTGTCTAGGCATCATCAAATAAAATTTGATCCAATCCGTTCACTCATATTTGAGTTATCAAAGATTAAGTTTTTTAACAAAAAATGGCTGCCATTTTGATATTTAGCAGCCAATCTAAAAAATCTCTTTAGTGCACTTCCTCGTCCCTAGTCATTTTGTAAATTCAACTGCCATCTTGAAAATTCTTTCTTGTACAAATTTACTTTTTCCCTAGGCATCATCATATAAAATTTTAACTTAACCAAAAATGTATTACAAAAAATGGCCACCATTTTGATATTTAGCAGCCATTTTGAAAATCTCTTCTTCAGCATAACCCCTTTGTTCCTAGGCATCAGCATATAAAATTTGAACCAAATCCATTAACTAGTATTTGAGTTATCAAAGTTTATATTTTTATGAAAAATGGCGGCCATTTTGAATTAAGCAACCATATTGAAAATTCCTTTTCGAGCAGAGGTTCTATCACCATAAGGCATAAGCCAATAAAATTTGAATGAAATCCATCAACCGGTATTTGAGTTATTGCCCAGACACACGAATGGACAGACTGACGAATGGACGGATGGCTTTCTATATCCCCCTCAAACTTGGTTCGGTGGGATAACTAGTTGGAGGCAAAGTGGTAAGTCAACAAATGTTTTTTGAGTACAGTCAAACTATTTACAACTCAAAAGAACTGATCATGAATATCATTATATAAGTAATTTTAGATCTCCATAAAAATTCCCATGACTTATGTATAGATTGTATTTTTGCATTTCTCAAAGGGTGTCTTGAAAACCTTTCATCAAAAACATACCTCATTTCAACCCATGTTTAAAAAATCCCCTTTAAAATGTTTGGACTTGAAAATCACAATTGCCCCTACTTATGAAAGTATATTGAGTCAGTTTGTACCCAGCAAAATATGGTGATGATATATATTCTTAATTCCAAAGGCATTCCTCTTTCTAATGATATATTAAACCCCGCCCGGGGAACATTTGATCAACCGAATGGGTTGCATTGTTGATCAACCTGTACTTAAGTAATGAATGTTTCCTACATTTACTTTATAAACATTTACTGTGTAAATATTAAGATAAGATTTATTTATAAGCTAGAAGGAATATATGTACAGTACATATACACCAAAAGTAACATTTTTATAAATACTAGAACAACACAAGAAGAGAAACAAGAAACATAAACTGAACCATCACAACACATTTGTGGTTAACAAGCGTTTAAATTCCTCAACTTTGACATCAATTTTTGACCTGTTGTAACAGAGAGATTAAATTGAAAATTTCTGAAATATAATGAATAGAGTCAAGGTTCATATCCATTTACATTATCAGTTTTTCTTTCATTTCTGGCTTAGAAAAATAGAGTTTAAAGATACATGGGGTTTAATATTATTAAAATATAGAATTTCTATATTTTACATCTTGTATACTCTCATTCACTGATGTATAGCATTTTGAAATTTCTCATTTTTTACATGGGAAATCCTCACCTTAGCAAATCCATGACACATTATGGTCCAAGCTGTATAAGCACAAAATCAAACAGAAACAATGTACACTGGGATCAGAGTCCAGCTACAGGATCCAGGTGCATGCAAAATGTTTATATATAATATTTCAGGTAAATAAGTTTTAATTGCAATAAACCCATGGCCTCTAATTATTAACAAATTACTACCATTTCGTTTTTGAAATGATATGTCATAGAGGCATCAAAATACAAGAGGCCACATATTTTATTGGTCAAACCACAAGCAATCCAAGATAACAAACATTTTTGTGTGTGTGTGGGAGGGGGTCGATGGGAACACCCCCCTCCCCCTGGCCTAAAATTCTTTCAAAATCATACAGGTTTTTATGATTCTGAGCACTTTTCAAGGAATTTTGGCCAAAAAATGTAAAATGTGACCCCCCCTTGGCCAGAGCCGGCTATGGGCCTGTGCATTGTGGTCTTTTGATTGCTTATTATTTAGGTTTGCACAACAGGCTTGAATTGGACTATAGGTTATAGAATCTGGTTCTTTGTGCAACAGAACAAGCAGGCTGCCTTTTATTTAAGAGAAACAGGAAGTAGGGATCAATGTGACACCCTCTCAATACATTGGAAACACCAAATAAACACGAACTATTATGCAATCTTTATGAAAGCTGCAATATAAATATGCAGACTTCAATTTAAATTTGGACTTACTAGTATTTGGCCCGGCCATGTGTTTGCCAACCACCTTTAGTCTGTCGACTGCGCTGGATTCAGAACCCGACCCTTGCATTTTGTCAGCGTTGAGTAAAAGAAGTCACCAATTCTTCACTATCTACAGTTAGCCAGTATGGCCCAGTTCTAAGTAGATTCTCAATACATGCTATATGAAATATCTAGTGATATCAGTATATATCAGGCTGGCCTGCACACATACAGTGGAGTGTAAAGTGACCTTCAGTCAGCCACTATCAGACAATGTTAGTTTCAAGTTTTCAAATGTTTAAAGTTATACATTATAAGTATGGAGTAGTAAGATGTTTGTTTAGATGAGTTAACATTTCTGATTCATAGGGAGTCTTTGTATTCAAGTTTGTTGGCTTGTGACTGGAGTAAATTATGAAAAAATTGATTGGTTGAGTAGTTTGTTTAATGGACCCTTTCAAGGTTGATATGCCTGAATTGGATTATGTAACATGTTTTCTATTATTTGCATATAGTTATCCTGTACTCCATTCTGTAACGTGCTTCATAATAGCCAGTTGAACCTAAAAATAAGAAATCTCAAGACCAGCATGCAATAATTGAATAATATATTGAAAGATATATTTAGCAACATTGAGTGACCATTTTGGATTGAATCAGAAAATTGATAAAATGTTTTGAATCTACTCTAAAATGCCTTTTAGTTGAACATCTTAGAAAAAGGGAGACTTTTTTCAAAATCACTATAATAATATTTTCAAACTTTGCATGGGGCCTGAGAAAATCTGACAACAAATCAACACAACTCAAATCTATTATAAACCAAATTGTGCTAATACTTTTATACTTTTCGTGAGATGATCCTCTTAAATTTTCCAAATTTAATTTCACAATCTACAGCTATAATTTCAATTTCAATTTATAAACTTAAAAGCCTTTATAAGCTCAAAATAACCCCAAGACCTCGCTTAATATGAATCCAGTGAGAAACTTAGGGCACAAAAAGTTTTTTATTTGCTCAGCTGCTGACCTATTATGAATATCCAAGTATCCTTTTAAGAATGTCACACTTCATGAGGCACCTTAGTTAAGAAAGGAGTATAGAACTAACTGGCCCCAGCCTTTCTTTCATATAAATATAATGGATCAAAGCCAACAAACTTTTGAACGTTCACCTTATTTCTAGTCCCCGACTATTTTTTCGACATGACAAGCCTACATTAAAGAAAGGTTAAAATTGTTTAATGTCTCACTGTAGTTGAAAAATAAACTGCACTTTATTGTTGGCTGACATACATTGCCAGTTGTTCAACTTGTCTCATAAACCTTTTTGAGTCAAATAAGTTTTCATTGCCAATACTTAGTAAAGTTCCTTTTAAAAATGTTATTTATCGCTTTTAAGCACATAAGACATATTCTTTGACTCAACGGTATGTGCTAAAGGTTACAATTTCATTTTCAAATTTTCTGTCAGACTCAACCCATATAAAGTCATGGCATTAAAGGAATTCTTCTTCAGGAATTCTGGCCTAAAGACCCATTTTGTGAAAAAATATGGCTTGATTTCCTGAAGAACAGAATAATTATGATGTGACAAGATAAAGTTTAGGTCTTCTATATAATATTTCTAGGTACATGTACATGACTATTTCAATAAGTGTTCTTCAAAACTTTTAAAATCTGAAATGGCATATACATGTACATAAATTAGCAACAATCTTGTACAATATAAGACTTCAGTTTTTACTGACAATGACAATGACCTTGTATGACCCTGACCTTGTATGAGTTACAATTGAACCTAGTTCCTCTCAAGAGACCTTAAGACACGATTCTTTCATAAAAGCCAATGATGTCAAAATGTACATACATATTCTAAACAGGATGGCATGTAATTTCCAAATTTTCAACAGGATGGCATATAATTTCCTAATCTTCAACAGGGTGGCAGGTAATTTCCAAATTTCAAAGAGGATGGTAGGAAATTTCCAAATTTTCAACAGGTTAGTATCATGTAATTTTCTAATTTTCAACAGGGTGGCATGTAATTTTCTAATTTTCAACAGGATGGCATGTAATTTCCAAATTTTCACCAGTGTGGCATGTAATTTCCCAATTTTCAAAAGCATGGCATATAATTTCCCCATTATCAATGGGGTGGCATGTAATTTCCAAATTTTCAACAGCATGGCATATAATTTCCCCCTTATCAATGGGGTGGAATGTAATTTCCCAATTTTCAACAGCATGGCATATAATTTCCCCATTATCAATGGGGTGGTATGTAATTTCCCAATTTTCAACGGGATGGCATGTCATTTCCCAATTTTCAACAGGGAGGCATGTGATTTCCCCATTTTCAACAGAATGGCATATGATTTCCTAATTTTCAACAGGGTGGCAGGTAATTTCCAAATTTCAAAGAGGATGGTAGGAAATTTCCAAATTTTTAACAGGGTAGCATCATGTAATTTTCTAATTTTCAAAAGGATAGCATGTAATTTCCAAATTTTCACCAGTGTAGCATGTAATTTCCCAATTTTCAAAAGCATGGCATATAATTTCCCCATTATCAATGGGGTGGCATGTAATTTCCAAATTTTCAACAGCATGGCATGTAATTTCCCCATTATCAATGGGGTGGCATGTAATTTCCCAATTTTCAATGGGATGGCATGTAATTTCCCAATTTTCAACAGGGAGGCATGTGATTTCCCCATTTTCAACAGGATGGCATGTAATTTCCCAATTTTCAACAGCATGACATATAATTTCCCCATTTTCAACAGGAAGGCATGTAATTTCCAACATTTCAACGTGGAAGTACCCAGTTGCTCTTAGGTGGCAAGATCACTGATATGTTCGGATTTTGAAAAAGTATGTATACATGTAAAAATCAGACATGCATATTGGTGAAATAAATGAAATGAAAATAAACATTTAGCTGCCACCGAGTGAGATGTGTTTCACATAAATAAATCAATGTCTTAAAAGTCTATAAAACTTCTAATGACTTACTTTATTGTTTAAATAGCATATTTGAATTCAGAGAAGTTCTATCGAATAATAACTGATTTACAGTTGCTATTTAAATCAATTTTTCAACTTTTCTAAAAAGCTTCAGCCAAATCTCTATTGATGCAATGTTGAAATTCTTTAAACCTTGGTTTATTCGCTAAACATTTTACTTTATTTTAAAATGTTCATGATTAATCACAATATGTGTACATTAATATGGTTATCCCACAGTACACCATTCGAGTTTTAGACGGATTCAACCAACACACTTTGATAAGTCATGAAATTAAATAACTATTTCATTTTTAACATCGAATTCAATGGCAGTCTGGCCAAACCAAATAATGCCTAGTGACATCTATTGATTCAACTTTATTCAGCTATATGGGAATTGTACCTTATTGTATACTTTATACGTTTTAAGAAAGATAAATAAACTCTGACTTACTTTTGTGTCCAAGATGGTTCTTGTTTCAATCAACTAATCCATTATGCTCCATGCTGAGAATTTCGTAATGTATTTTGCATCTTCTTTTACGAGAGAAGCAGATGTCCTTGTCCAGAATACAATATCATCATTGTTGACAATATCATTTTCACCCATTAGTGGAGACTTAGAGATTGACAATATCATTTTCATTCATTAGTTGAGACTTAGAGATTGACAATATCAATTTTATCCATTAGTAGAGACTGGAGATTGACAATATCATTTTCATCCATTAGTAGAGACTGGAGATTGACAATATCATTTTCATTAATTAGTGGAGACTGCAGATTGACAATATCATTTTCATTCATTAGTGGAGACTGCAGATTGACAATATCATTTTCATCCATTAGTGGAGACTGCAGATTGACAATATCATTTTCATTAATTAGTGGAGACTGGAGATTGACAATATCATTTTCATTCAATAGTGGAGACTGCAGATTGACAATATCATTTTCATTAATTAGTGGAGACTGGAGATTGACAATATCATTTTCATCAATTAGGGGAGACTGGAGATTGACAATATCATTTTCATCCATTAGTAGAGACTGGAGATTGACAATATCATTTTCATTAATTAGTGGAGACTGCAGATTGACAATATCATTTTCATTAATTAGTGGAGACTGGAGATTGACAATATCATTTTCATCAATTAGGGGAGACTGGAGATTGACAATATCATTTTCATCCATTAGTGGAGACTGGAGATTGACAATATCATTTTCATCCATTAGTGGAGACTGGAGATTGACAATATCATTTTCATTCAATAGTGGAGACTGCAGATTGACAATATCATTTTCATTAATTAGTGGAGACTGGAGACTGACAATATCATTTTCATCAATTAGTGGAGACTGCAGATTGACAATATCATTTTCATCTATGAGTGGGGACTGGAGATTGACAATATCATTTTCATCAATTAGGGGAGACTGGAGATTGACAATATCATTTTCATCCATTAGTGGAGACTGCAGATTGACAATATCATTTTCATTAATTAGTGGAGACTGGAGATTGACAATATCATTTTCATTCAATAGTGGAGACTGCAGATTGACAATATCATTTTCATTAATTAGTGGAGACTGGAGACTGACAATATCATTTTCATCAATTAGTGGAGACTGCAGATTGACAATATCATTTTCATCTATGAGTGGGGACTGGAGATTGACAATATCATTTTCATCAATTAGGGGAGACTGCAGATTGACAATATCATTTTCATTAATTAGTGGAGACTGGAGATTGACAATATCATTTTCATCTATGAGGGGAGACTTAGAGATTGACAATATCATTTTCATCTATGAGGGGAGACTGGAGATTGACAATATCATTTTCATTAATTAGTGGAGACTGCAGATTGACAATATCATTTTCATCTATGAGTGGGGACTGGAGATTGACAATATCATTTTCAACTATGAGTGGGGACTTACAGATTGACAATATCATTTTCATTCAATAGTGGAGACTTAGAGATTGACAATATCATTTTCATCCATTAGTGGAGACTGGAGATTGACAATATCATTTTCATCCATTAGTAGAGACTGGAGATTTACAATATCATTTTCATCCATTAGTAGAGACTGGAGATTTACAATATCATTTTCAACCATCAAGTGTGGTAGTCAATTTAAATACTTTTTGAAATATTTCAGAAATGCCATGCATAATCTATTTTGCCTAAATTTTGTGCACCCTGAAGTAAAAGTAAAGGATAGAGGTCAAATATCCCATTTATTAAAAAATTCACTCATGAGAAAATAAACTTTCTAAATTAAAAACACGATCACTGTATGAATCCCCATTAACACCCGGGCATTAACATTAAGATCAAAGAGAAGTAATAAATATGTCTGTTAAAGATACTGTATTTTTCACTTATATTTAAGATATGATTTACTGTGTACTGTACTGCATGTACTGAGGAACATTACTTTAGATTGTTTGCTAATCTTGAGCATGTGTCAGATGCTTTTTCCTTATTGTTTTCAAGTTTAGCTATTCTAGATCCAAACTGAATTGCACGTTTTGCAAGTATTGCAGAGTCTGATAGTCCAACTTTTAGAGCACTTAGCCTCAGTAGAAACTTCTCTCCCAAACCACGAGGTAGATGCAAATTGGCCTGAAAAGTTTTATAGTACATAATCATAAAATGAATAGATACGAATCCAAGATCAATAGACTAGATGCGAGTAGATATAATCTTGATTTACGTCATTAAATATTCAAAATTCAGTCAAAGTGGTGTCATATTTGAAATCTGCATGTAAAAGAACATCTAGAAATATACATTAAAAATAATGTTTATCAACTTTGAAAATTTAATTTTTTTTGAAAATGACTTCTAGTTTGTGGAGATTTCCCATAGACCCCATGTTATAAAATCGCAAAAGGTGAAAGATCTTTTTTGTATTTTAATAGACAGATACAATGTAGATCCCGGCGGCATTCATTCTTAGCACCAGAGACTGGCGCTATCAGGTTTGAACACGAGAGAGTGCGGCGCCCCATCGGACTCTAAAAGCCTGCCGAGATCACTGTATTAGATACATAAGGGTGATATGAAAATTGAACCACTATAACAGATGGATATTTAAGTTAAAGGGAACTTTCTACTATACTCGCCATGCTATCTGACCCAAACGAGCCACCTGGTGGTGAAACTGGTAATTACTTACTCGCATATGAGTTATTCAATTTATCTGTTTTTATCCAATTGTTATATAACATTTTTTACATCAATCATCCAAAAGGACATTCACAGGCATATTTAAAACAAATGACAGAATGAACATTACACTGGAAGTGTAATAAAATAATGATGCAAAGAGCTGACACACAGACCAGACCAGACACACAGTGAAAATATTGCGCTTTTTATTGAAAAATTCAAAATGACCAACAAATAATTTACCCAACAGGCACATGCACAAGTCTGCCTTAAATCTGTAAAAAGTTCAAGTTGTAAAGCAGTTTTCCTGGAATTTTGATGACATGATTTTTGTGGTGCATGCAGAGACCCACGGCCATCAGTTCAAGGTGACCCTACAGCGCTTTGAAAAATTGCCTTAGTCTGTTGGTTGACATGACCTAACTTATAGACACTTTAAAGCTTGACATAAATTGTACTACTTCACCAAAAAATATAAATTATTATATTAGTTTTGACTTTAGTGCTTTAATACCCAAGGATGTTGATGTTGTATATGTCTATTATCTTTTAAACAGTACAATAAATGGCACTGAGAAGTAAAGTCTGACAACTTTGATAATTATAAATTATTAAACAGCCACTAATGCTTCAAGGCACTGAACTTATATACAGTAAAACCTGAGTTAGTGAGCACATCTCTCTAGTGAACACCTATTTTTTATCTATTTTATTTATCTATTTAGATATACACTTTTTAACAGTGGCACTCTTACATTAAGGTGCATCTAATCGAAAAATATATTCGTAATGCCGTGTTGGTTAAAAACAACACATTTTATCAAAGTAAAATGAGTTAAAAAGAATAAAAACATATGATGCTGTCCCCAGCTCCGATTTCGGTGATCGGCTAGTAAAAAAGGTTTGAGGGTATCATTTTGTTCAAAACACTCGCTAGAGTAAATTATACTAACTTGTGTAAAAATGTGTGGTAAGTGAATTCGCTATGGGCAGTTAGAGAGGCGCCATCTATTCATTTTCAAACAGGGGGTAGGGGTATAAAATATTTTTTTATCACATTTTAATAGTACAATGACATTGAAATACTAATAACATCTTATCAAAAACATTATTTACAATCAGTATGAATTATCTTGTGTGGATTAGGGTGAAAATAAGGGCATATTTTGAAATTCACTACAGGGGCACCACCTATTTTCATACTTCTACCACATGTAATAAGTTATTTTAGATTCGTTAAGGTACGAAATGTACTGAAATTTAAAATTGTGGCACCATGCAGGATAGGGGTGACCATATCTCACATGATTAACTTCCAAAATATGGGGCATATGTATCTCAAATGTACTCAAAATGGTGTATGTACTCTTGCTTTGTCATAATATTACTAATAAGAAGTAGAAAAATGATTGTACAATTTTAAAAATATTAATTCTCATTTTGGCTTCTGACGTCCCAGGGGTGACCACATCTCACCTTAATAACTTCCAAAATAGGGAGCATATGTATCTCAAATATGCTCAAAATGGTGTATGTACTCTTGCTTTGTCATAATATTACTAATAAGAAGTAGAAAAATGATTGTACATTTTAAAAAATATTAATTCTCATTTTGGCTTCTGATGTTCCAGGGGTGACCATATCTCACCTTAATAACTTCCAAAATATGGAGCATTTGTATCTCAAATGTGCTCAAAATGGTGTATGTACTCTTGCTTTGTCATAATATTACTAATAAGAAGTAGAAAAATGATTGTACAATTTAAAAAATATTAATTCTCATTTTGGCTTCTGACGTTCCAGGGGTGACCATATCTCACCTTAATAACTTCCAAAATATGGAGCATTTGTATCTCAAATATGCTCAAAATGGTGTATATAGACTTGCCTTGTCATAATATTACTAATAAGATGTAGAGAAATGATTGTACATTTTAAAAATATTAATTTTCATTTTAGCTTCCGACGTTCCAGGGATGACCACTGACCATATCTCACCTTAATAACTTCCAAAATATGTAACATATGTATCTCAAATGTACTCAAAATGGTGTATATAGTCTTGTCTTGTCATAATAATATTACTAATAAGATGTAGGAAAATGATTGCACATTTTTAAGAATATTAATTCTCATTTTGGCTTCTGACGTCCCAGGGGTGACCATATCTCACCTTAATAACTTCCAAAATATGGAGCATATGTATCTCAAATGTACTCAAAATGGTGTATGTACTCTTGCTTTGTCATAATATTATACTAATAAGAAGATTATACATTTAAAAAATTTCAATTTTAGCTGCTGTCGTCCCTCAATAACTTCTAAAATTATGTAACATATACAACTCAAATATACCAAAAATGGGGCATATGGTCTTGCTTTGTCATAATATTATTCATGAGATGTAGAAAAACTTATTACACCTTTTTTGAATTGAAATTTTCATTTTAGCTTCCGAATCTGACATCCCAGGGGCAACTATATCTCACCTTGATATAACTCTCACAATATACAACATATGCATCTCAAATGCGTGCCCAAAATGGTATAAATATAGTCTTGTTTTGTCATATTTATTGAGATTCATGAAGTCAGAAGTTCAGAATTTATGGATTGGACTGTCTCCCCTGCAGGCTTCAGCTACATATAGTCCAGAGACATTATGATCTATTTTCAAATATTTGCATCTTCTCCCCAAACACTCCTTATATTACAGGAACAATGGACGTGAAGTCTTTTGCATGCCTTGGATGCAACATCTTTTGTACACTGGTAGCCTATCAGTAGAGTGAGAAGCCTAGCCTCATTTACCAAAATTGGCCCCTTAACCCCAAATCTGACCTGAAATTTTGAAAATATCCTGAAAAATTAAGCCTAAAAGGCGCATTTATGCCCAAACATACACCAAACTGTCCCACTGCTAAATTACAAGGGCGATAAGTCGCTTCTAATCCTGATTGACATTCTCTACTTTGCATGGTTTGTCATGTTGTGCTATATTGTTATTGCCCAATCTCAACAATTGTATTCACTGTGTGGCCTACCGTGCCAAGAATAATGCAATTGTTCCAAAAGCTAAGCTCTTCTTTGGGACCCTAGAAGTGTGGGACATCACAATCATAGATTAATATTTCATTACAATCAATGTATGTTGTATGACAAACATGCAAGCTAGAGAATGTTAATGTGGCTAGAAAGATTTATCATTACAAAGAGCTCCTTTTCCCGTATTTTACATACTCAAAATTCAGTGTATAATCCAAGGTGCATATATTGCAGGCCACAGGATAACATATTAACACCTTACATTAGCAGTTGCCATTACTTCATGAATGGAGTAAAGTACTCCGTATATTGACAGGCTAAAAGGATTCCTGTATGGATTACAAAAGATGTTGGGTCCATTCCAAGGTATGCAAGGGAATAATCTCATCCATTGTACTTGTAAAGGGTGTTTGGGGAGCAGATGCAAATATTTGAAATCAGATATTATTTGCCCTGAATTATATGTAGCTGTAGAGGAGACAGTCAAAATCCATTGATTCTGAACTGTTGATTTTATGATTCTCAATAAATATGACAAAACAAGACTATATTTATACCATTTTGAGCACACATTTGAGATGCAAATGTTGCATATCGTGAGAGTTATCAAGGTGAGATAGCCCCTGGGACACCAGATGCTAAAATTAAAATTTATAAAAAATGCAATCATTTTTCTACATTTCATTAGTAATATGAAAAAGACAGGACTTTTATGAGAATATTTGAGGATTATATGTTACATATCTTAGAAGTTATTATTATATGGTGCGATATGATTACCCAGGAACGTAAGAAGCTAAAATTAAAAATTTTGAAATGTATAATCATTTGTCTACTTCTTATTAGTAATATTATGAAAAAGCAAGAGTACATACACCTTTTTGAGTACATTTGAGATACATATGCTCCATATTTTGGAAGTTATTAAGGTGAGATATGGTCACCCCTGGGACGTCAGAAGCCAAAATGAGAATCAATATTATTTTAAATGTACAATTTTTTTTTTACTTCTTATTAGTAATATTATGACAAAGCAAGAGTACGTTCACCATTTTGAGTACATTTGAGATACATATGCTCCATATTTTGGAAGTTATTAAGGTGAGATATGGTCACCCCTGGGACGTCAGAAGCCAAAATGAGAATCAATATTTTTTAAAATGTACAATCATTTTTCTACTTCTTATTAGTAATATTATGACAAAGCAAGAGTACATACACCATTTTGAGTACATTTGAGATACATATGCTCCATATTTTGGAAGTTATTAAGGTGAGATATGGTCACCCCTGGGACGTCAGAAGCCAAAATGAGAATTAATATTTTTTAAAATGTACAATCATTTTTCTACTTCTTATTAGTAATATTATGACAAAGCAAGAGTACATACACCATTTTGAGTACA